CAGCTGACTTTGTTTTCAGAAGGTGGAAGGGATGGCGGATGGCATGTCACCTAGGCATGGTGCAGTGGTTAGCATAGTTGCCTCACAGCAAGAGGGTTCAAATCCAAGGTGGGGGGAAACCCTTCTGTGCAGAGTTTGTGTGTTCTCCCCATGTCAGCGTGGGTTTTCTCTGGGTACTCCAGCTTCCTCACACAGTCCAAAGACATGCAGGTTAGGTTAACTAGTGACTTTACATTAGCCGTGGGTGGGAATGTGTCTGTCTCTATGTGTCAGCCCTGTGATAGTCTGGTGACCTGTCCAGGATGTACCCCAGCTCTTGCCTGATGTCAGCTGGGACAGGTTCCAGCCCCTGGAAACCCCCAATAAGCAATTAGGGAAAAAAATGAATGAATGAATCAGCAACTCACACCAAAATAATCTAGGCTGATAAATAGCACTACAGGTAAGAGGAAATTTGAGGTGAACTGTCCCTTTAAAACAACAGTCAGGTGCCCATATGGATACTGGGATGATTTTGCTTACTGTAATCATTCCTCTGCCATTTAAAGATCCATTCCTCATGGGCTTTCAATGTACAGATAAGTGATTTGGGACAAAATTCACAGTCTTTCGTCTGTGTAAAAATGTATTCAAAGGTTTATCTGAAGCTACTAAAATGAGGCTTCAGAATACTGAGTGGCTATATTCCAAAATTAAAGTATTTTCAGTATGAACTATCACTGCCTCTCTCCCAAACAGTGTCAGAAAATAATCCAACCAAACATGAATAAAAGACAGTTTTGCAGTTAAATCTAAAGATTCTCACTTACACTCGTTGCTCCCAGTCAACTTCCATCTCTCCCGCCCTGTCAGCTCACATCTGCCCTGGATTTTCAAGCCTTTTCATAGTTTCCACTTCCCTGCCATCCCTCCCAATACAACTTGGGAGAAATTGAGACAGTACATGATGTGTGTGTGTGTGTGTGTGTGTGTGTGTGTGCGTGCATTGTATGTAGCGTGTGTGAGCACATGCATATGTGACAGCGATGAAGACAGGCAGGTGGAGGGGAGGCCAAGGGTGGGCGCGGGCTGTTGACGTGCCAGTCAGTAATACTTTTCCTCAGGTTGAGGTGTGCTCACCGGGAGGGTGTGTTGCTGCTGGGAAGCTCTGTAATGAACAGGAGGCTGGCTCTCTGCCTGATCAAATTCCACCACAGCCTCATATCTATCTTGCCTTCCAAAAATGTTCAGCATACCAGTGGGTTTTATTGACTTGTCAGAGCAGACAGCGGAGTGCAAGCTCTGCCTTGTAAGGTGTTCAGTTGACACGTTTCTAAAGCAGGAATTTCTACTGATGACTCTTTATTTGTAATACCTTTATGTGTTTTAGCTCACACTGATGTGTGCTGATTAGAGCTACAACATGTGCTAGGACAGTAGTGATATATAGCTGTAACAGTAGTAAATCAGAACAGACTTCAGACTTCGACTGTATTTACCCAAACTGGACTTAATCATGTTGGCACATGTTCCTTTAAAATGAACTAGACCGTGAATCTAATGTGAGCTAGCCCAGTTTGTGTCTCTCATGTGTTACCAATACATTTCATTCACAGAGCAAATTTTTCAGAAAAAAGAAACACCCAGAATGGACTTTAACAACACTCAAGGCTGAGCTGAAGGTATTTCCAGAATCCTTAAAGGCTCTTCAAACCATCTGGATGAAAAATATTCTGTCTGCTGCACAATAAAAAATATTTTTAAACCTGTTTCCCAAGGTTCCCAAAATTCCTGGCCCTGTTGCACATATTTTGACATGTTGTCCATTCTAACAGTTGAGTCTAACAGTGCTAAAGAAGTGCTATGCAAAATCGACAAAGCACTAAGAAGAGAAGTGCGTAGGATTGAGGGGGGTATACTGGTAAAAATGGAATACAGTATAATAATCATGTTTTCTTTGTCTCACAGCCATGTTTCTACAGTAGCTAAGAACGGACAAACCAAACACTGGCGCTAGATAGGGCTATTCAAGTTTATGCAGTGGTCTCTGAAGTTAGCAGCAGCCCCTCCGCAACGAGCAGCATCTGGGATACAGTAATTTTCAAATGTGAAACTGCTTTATTCAGTGTTTTTACCAGTTTAAATCACTTGGTCTGTTTGTTTTGCAGAGGAAGAGACCTCTGTTGATAATTTGGCTCCTGGTAAAAACCTTTTGAACATCTGGGTCTTATGTTATTAGAGGAAGAAGGCAAGCACACATTAGTAGGTGCTGGGCTAGCGGCCAATTAGCATCGGAGAAACACTGATTTGTAATATGAAATTACTTTATTCAGTGTTTCTACAGCTTTTAATCACCTGGTCCTTTTGTTTTGGAAAGGACGAAACCTCGGCGGATTATTTGGCTCCCAGTAAAAACCTCCTGAACTATAAACCCTGAAGGAATGCCAACTGGGAGTTGATGCTTAGCACATGGAAAAAGTTTTAGCTGGTTGCGGTCTGCAGTGCTCACCACTAGATGCCACTAAATCTGACACACTGTTCCTTTAACATGAACCAAAAAACATTAAAAAAAACCCTGATTATTGGTATATTTGTCTAAATTTATGTTTTATATTTTCATACAAAATAATGCTTTACTTATGTGCACAGAAAGAGCAAGGACATTATGTAATTTCCACTACCTGGATTAGAAATACTGCAACAAACCTTTTATTTTATCCTGCAGTGGAGGAAATATTTTCATTCAGATGGTTTAAAGAATCTCTGAGGATTTTTACATTACTTTCAGAACATCAGTGAGAGTTAAACAACCTTCTCAAACATCACCAGGTAGCCGATTTACTTCTCAGACGCTTAGGTCTGTGTTTAAATGTAATGGTGAGAGGCACAAACTGTGGCTGAATGTAAGAATGCAAAACTGTACAAAACATCCTCCTTCCTGAAGAGGCTGTTCGCGGTATTTCCCACACTTCTGCAGGATGTGTGCGAACATTGTTACTGACTGGAAAGCGTGGCTTGACTTTCACTGGTGAAACTGAGTCAGGCAAAAAGAGCTGTGGTAAAGTGCCAATGCTGACAGATGCTACTCCACTATCTGTCTCATAATGAGTTTAGTTTCTCTCCCCCCTCTCTCTCCGTCTTTCTACTCTTTCCTCTCACCCCCTGTCCTGCAAATACAGTTAACTGCATGACCATCCGCGATGAATGGTGGTTAACAGCTGCCTACTTTTTTGATGGTTGCCTGTGAGAGCATGTAATTGCATTTGGCCCTGGGTGTACATGCACTCATTAAACCAGTGTCAGTGCCCATTACATTCCACAGCAGTGCAACTCAGGTACAGAATGCAAATCCCAGGCACGAACACACTGCTCTGTGAATGCTTTAAGACAGAGCGCTGAAGGCCTCTGCTTACAACACCAAAAGAAAAAAAAAAGTTGCATTTTATTTTAGGATAATTTCACCTTCCCAAGTGATAGACACAAACAAAATTTTATTTCATTTTAGTGCGTAAAAACTGAGTACATGTTATCAAATCTAAAATAGATACGAGCAAAACACAGCCAACAATCTCACTATTAGTAGTAAGAGGATGTGTCTTGCTGGAATTATTTAGCTGGTCCCAGTTGTTAGGGCTCAGAAAGGATAAGATCTGCTATGTTGGGACCTGATCCACGCAGGGATCAGATGCAGAATTCCAAAAATGCCCATCTACATGCCAAGATCCAGTGTTGGACCCCTTTTGTTTGGTTGAACCCATCTTATCTCTTTGCATATTGTTCTGGTATCTCCCCCTAAAAACATTATGAAGACAAAACATTTTTCAATGAACCTGAGCACTCCAACCTGACGTGAAGGATAATGGTGGTCCCAGTGAGCTGATGTCGTTTGTAGTCGCTGAAAAATAAACCACAGATACCTCAAAACCACAAAAACAGACCTAATGTTCTCAGTGGCTTTCAGCTCCTATATCCATCACTTATTGTGATATGTTATATCATGCTGTGTCCATTGTTATGGTTGGGGCCTCTCTGCTGCGTGAGACAAACCATCAGTCATGTAACGCCCAGGAAGGTGCAACTGTCTGCCTGAAACTCCACCATAATACCAAAGGGACAAAGAAGATGTGACATCTCATACAAGAGACTCAGTAATGGACATTAACTCCTGTTACACAGCTTGTTCCTCATCACAATATGACGTGTCAGTGCAATCATGACTTATGAGACAGAGGATAAAAGCTGAAGGTAATTCATGACAAAAAAAAGATGAGTAATGGCATTATTTGTTTGGGCCCCACATGTCAGACGCTGCAGATGTGCAACATATACTGCAGGTGCAGCCTGACACCTACTGGACAAACTGCGCATGCACACCTGCATGCATGCACACGTCATAACATCATCACCACACCCTGAAAAACCCAGGTAATGATTTCACGGATGGGAAGCAGACAAAATCTGCTTCTTAGTAGCAGACTCATGTTTTGTTCCCTGCTCACTCAGAAAAAAATCATCGATCACGACTGGGGGAACAATGAGGGGTGTAATGCTGTGACTGTCCAACAGATGGCAAAGTCTGTCCAGTTTGCAGTGTGACACAGGCCTCACCCTTGAACTAGGCCTCTCTGTGGACTGTTTACCACATTGTCATATTCAAACCACAGGAAATCTTAATCACTAAGCTGTTAAACCATATTTACACAACAAAATATCATTGATTTATATCACTCCAGCCATAATTGAGACATGCATTCAGTCACACTACAAAATCAACTTTAAGGGTATAATTACTGTGCTGCATGATGAAATATTTCTCCAGGTTTGGCAGGCTGTGGTTAATGTGGTCCAAATCTGACAGACACTGTGCCAACTGTGTGCTTTAACAGTTTTCTGGTGACTTGAATAATGAGCTATAAAGAGGAGACAAAGGGAGAGTGTGTGTAGCCTAGAGGCAGGGAGAGAAAGAGAGAGAGAGAGAGAAAGAGAGAGAGAGAGAGATCCCTCCATCCTTCCTGGTGGGAGGTTTGAGATGCGCTGCGCAGACCCGTCCGCCGCTACCGACGCATCTTCCTGGCCTGCCCCCCTCTCACTCCCTCTCCCTCTCTCTCAGTCTCTCTTTCCTGCTTTTCTGTCTGCCACTAGCCTACCTGAGGGGAAGTGCACAAAGCCAATAAGAAAATCTGGCGTGTCGGCTGGGCCCTGCGCGCGCTATGCTGCGGTAAAAAGGGCCGCCGTTTGCGGTGTTTACAGGGGATGTAGAGAGAGGGACGGAGGCACCGACGGACCGCGCCGTGTCTGCTCTGCTCTGCCCAGCCCGCTGCATCGCTGAGCGGCCTGCGAAGCACACAAGATGTCGACCAGAACGCCATTGCCCACGGTGAACGAGCGTGACACCGAGAATGTAAGTGCTTGTTATCCATGGACGCCGGTGTTACGCCGGACGTGGGAACGGCATAAAAATGACCTAGCTATGTGGCTATTTTGCGCACTGCTCGGTGCAGGTTTATGGCAGCGCTTTTTGGGGCTAGTGTTGCAGAGCGACTCGACCAATGAGCACCCCGGCTTTTTTTCTCCTCTTCCCCTCCGACGGGAATAAAAAGCCTAGAATAACCTAGAATAAAGGTGCAGTTTGGTTGTGTCTGCCCCAGTTTCTGTGCACAATACGGCTAGCCTCGACAACGCACTGCGTCAGTGTGCTGGCTTTAATGATACATGCGAAGCTTGAATGTTAATGTTGAGAATGAAACCGTTGCCTGTGTGGCCTGTGAGGAAGATGGTGTTGCTCCACTCGTGCTACTGGGGGTATTTTCTAGTCCACAACGTCAATATTTAGGGAGGGTGGGGGAGGATGTTGCCCTACTTTTCAATGGCAACGCTTGGTAGCATCGCAATGTGACATCCATCACCTATTGGGCCCTGTTGTAACTGCACGCTCAGTGGTGAAGAGGAGGAGGAGGTGGTGGAGGAGGAGGGAGCGTGTTATTATTCTCCATTATGCTGCCACGACACTGATACAGACATGTATTTATATATTTATAACGGGCTAAAGAAATGGCTGCAGATTTCTCATTCACTGTGTGGGGGAATGTTTGTGAACGACTGCTCCTGCTGCTCGCGCGCACACATACTCACGCGCCCACAAAGCACAGCATAATAATACAAATCTTTTGAGATCAGTCCAAATTAGGACTGCTGTATGTATGCCGACAGGCTCTGACATATCTAGGTTCGTCAGATTTTTTTTTTCCTGGAAACAAGACGAGGCACAGTCTCATATTATATTGTGTTACAAGCAGTGGAAACAGCTGGAAGCAGTCTTTTAAAGGTTATTCTCAGGATTAAAAGAAAGAGATTTATTTTGGCTCTCCATTTCTGGATTATTCATCTTCAAGTGATAAAATTTAAATTGGAAAATACATCTCCAAAGTTATGTAACTTAACCTGTAATGATATCAGCTCTCTGATTGTTCTCTCTGAAATGCATCAGCGCTAATGTAACTGTCTAACAGTCTAGTGCTGTTTTAGGTCTCACAGACACAAAGCACTGCCTCAGCAGCACTGGCAGTAGCCAGCCAGCCTAGCCTGCCTCTGTTCGACTCCATCATGCAGCCCCAGGGCCCACTAGCAGCTGAACTGCATTGCATAACAGCTTATTACTCAGAGAGACGAGTGGCTTTAAGTGCAGCAAAATAGAAGAAGCTCTCTCCTCGCTTTCTTATTTTTATGTGTGTGTGTGTCTGTGCAGGTGTGTGTTATTTTTTATGTCTGGCCTCCCCAAAGGACATAACGTCAGTGGCTGGGAGTTAATGGATGGGCGAGTGAGACAAACTTTGTGTATTTAATCATCTGCCTGTCCAGATGCCTCTTGGTTAATTTACAGAATTTGGAGTCAGGCCAAGTGTGTGTTTGTGTGTACGCACATGTGTGTCTGAAGGATGAACTGGATTTATGACAGGTCTGTGTTAAAGTTTATTAAAACAACTAAAGTCACCTTACTGTGGATATTTACCAGCTGTGGATATAATAGAGACAGTGCACAGATTGCTCTGTCATGGTGTAAAGAGAGTTTTGGTGCATTAAAAACAAGGATGCTGACTTTGACTGGCATCTAATCAAAGTTTCCCCTTTCCTTCCACACACAAACAAACCCATACTGTGACACTGTTTGAATCCTGCAGTGTAGCTCTCCCTCTGTCAGCCTGTGTGCTAGCTGAGGTGATGCGCACCCTGCAGGGTGTAGCGTTTCCCTGGTGAAACGGGAGCAGGGGAGCCTGGGTAACCAGACCAAGGCTTTATTCTCTGGCTGGGTGTGGTGCTCAGGAGCAGAGGATCATGGGATCTCTGACCTGGACTGACATCAGCAGCTGTCGTGGAGAAGAGGAAACAGACCATCAGAGACTGCGCGTAGCCTGTGCCAGCGCTGTACTTATAGCAAGCTGTTCCTAATTCACCTTCACATGCCATATCACAGGGACACTTGTTGTTATTGGGTTTGGCCATGGAGCCAGTAATATTGTTTCAGTTCGTGACTCTGTGCTGCACATGTTGTAGGTATTTCTCAAAGGCACAAAGTCAAAGGAGCCCACTGTCTATTGTTATTGAGTCTTGTCTCGTGGCTGATAAGGTCTTTTTGAGGTTAAGGTGTCAGAAAGAGAAAAGGGAACCCGATTCTCTCCCACACAGTTCTCCTTGGGCTTGCATGTAAATGTAGTTACAGTATATGCGCTCACTCATGCACATGTAGAACATTAGATCCCCATCTTGAATCTGGATCTAGGTTAATGGGTTCATCTCTGTTTGCACAGTGAATATCCCACCTTTGGCACACACACAAAGCTCCACTGCAGCACTCTGCTGCATTGTTTGTATGCGTGCTGCCAGTGTGGCAACAGAGAGGGTCCTTTTGGAGTTACTGAGCTTGTCAATGAGCCAGAGAGGTTCAGGGACTTGTTGTATTGGTGTCTGTATAAATTTCACTCAGGGAATGTTGCTGACCTCGACATGTGTGGCTTTCCTGCAGCACTCTTCAGTGGATGGCTTTGTTGAACCCCCAGTCCCCCCGACAAAGTCTGCCAGTCGCCACAGCTTGCCACGATGCCGCAACTCTTTCACCTCCACCGAAGAGCACCCCCATATTGGCAATTACCGCCTCCTCAAGACCATTGGGAAGGGGAATTTCGCCAAGGTGAAGCTGGCACGACATGTCCTGACTGGACGAGAGGTGAGACAATGCTTTTGTTTCATATTTAAAAAAACATTTAGGTGTTACTGTTTTGTCCATGTACAATACAATCTTCATCTCAGCCTCAGTCTTGTGTTGCTACATGTGAACAGTTAGAGCTGCAGCTTATTACTACATTCATTATAATTTGAGTTGCAGTTTTACGCATCCACCTGGGTAAGCAAAGTGTAACAGAAAGATGGTGTCATATTTATTTGCTTCATCACCTCTCTCATAAAAAGATTTTTCTTCAGTGGGTGTTTTGCATATGAGATGCTGATTCTGTTCTGACTCTGAGGAGTATGAATGATCTCCCATCATCAAAATACTGTACTTTCCCCATCAGGTCAGGCCAATCTGTCTCTTTCTGCCTTTCTCAAACACTCCCACAAACACAGTCATACACTGCTGACCTGTCAGAGTGATAGACAGCTTGCTTTGGTGTGTCAGTAATTAAAGCTCCTGTTTCCCTAAGGAGAAAACAATGACCTGCGATCTGTTCACTGTCTCTCACTCAGCAGGACTCGCAGCGCTCACTGACAGCCCTGATCCACCTCAGATATCCTCTCATCTCTGTTTCTTATCCACCTGCATCCTTAACTCCTCTAAGTTTCACATTGGTCATATCAGAGTATGGAGGGTGTCCATATTCTCTGAGGTCAAACCAGTAACAGTTTGATCCATTCTGTGTCCTTCCACGCTAATGTTAAACAGCCATATTGGATATGCTGCCCACTGTTTGCTGAGAAGGTCAGGCGCTGCTGTGTGTGCCTGAGTGCCCTTGCTGGCTCATCAGAATGCAAAGACATGGATCAGAGTGAGTAAGAGAACAGGTGGAAAGAACATAACCCACTAAAAAACTGACTCTATCTGAGCTCGAGTCCGGCAAGCTTCTTACTGACTACTAACATTTTTCTTGCACCTAAAACAAAAGAAAGTTTTACCTTTGTAGAAAAGCATCAATGGGAGCTCTGTGGAAGCAGAGCAGCAGTCACTTCTAGGTGACAGAGTGTCCTATCTGCTGAAGAGGGCGACTACACACACACACATACACACACACACGCTCAGCTGCACTGATGGAAACATTTGCCTCTACCATATGCCCTCATCTCCTGCCCACTAGGGAAGCGATGGTGCATTATCATTATCAATTTAATTTGTCAAATTTAAGTGAATTTGTATTGTAATGATATGATCTCACCACATTGTTGTTTTACTGGATTTGGTTGCTTAACTTGATTATTGCAAAAAAAGAGCTCTTGTTTAAAGAATTTATCTGATGTCATGCATATCAGTGGGACATATTCAACTGCTTTGACAATCAGTTGGATTATTTTATACTTGACTTTGCGTATCTTTTTTTATATTGTAATATAGAGCAGTATTAGAAAAAGTATTGAGTAATCTTTCGATTTATGTAAGAATAATCTTAAGATTAATCAATCTATCTGTGAGTATCCAGAAAAGCACTATATAAATCCAATGTATTATTGTTATTATTATTAATCTTAAGATATTTATGGATTTATTAAAGAACTCACTGCTGGAAAGATGGTCTTGTCCCAGAACTGGTCTGTCTGTGCCGTAGAAGATGCAAATACTTTTAAAATTGGTGCTACATGGCCAGAGAAAACAGAGGAGAAGGGCTGTAGCATTCACTTTTGCTCAATAAGTAGAAAACTTACAACCATCAGGTTGCACTGCGAAGCCCCAGACCAATAAACACTCCCACTTGTGGGTGACATGATGCAAGTTGCCTGTCCGAAAACAATATGGCTGCCAGCTGATCCAAGTTTGAGAGAGAGGGATAATCCTCTTCTGTACTCTTTGTGTCTGTGGTGGCGGCGAGCACACAAACATAAGGAAGTACAATCTGTAGTTGGAGCAGCAGCCATAGAGTCAGAGAAAATGCATCATCTGGCAGATTTTCACTGTCAAACAAGCAGGGAGGTCCGGGTGCTGGTAAGATGGAGGGAAGTTCACCGCAGTTCTTTTACATATACTGCCCACGCTGTTATGATACAAATCTGGCTGACAACTGGCAAAGTATCTCTCTAATCATTGGTCTATAAAATGTAAGAAAATAGTTAAAATGCCCATCCAAATTTACTGAAACTCAAGTCGATGTCATTGAATTGCTTGTTTTCTTTGACCAACACTCCAAAATATGAAGATTTTCAGTTTATTATCAGAAACAATGCAGAAAAACAGCAAATTCTCACAAGTGAAAAGCTATAACGGGGGAATATTTAATATTTTTTCTGACAAATTCTGATGAAGCAACTATTTTTTAACTATTTTTCTCAGTCAAGTTATTGATAAATCAACTGTTTCAGCTGGAATATTGACACATAAAGGGAGTTTGCCTCTGCTTTTCAGTAGCTCTTCATGGCCTCACACAGTGCAGAGAAAAAATGCGCTGAAAGAACCAAATATAGACATACTGTACAGCTAAAGAAAGACAACAGAGCTAAACAAAGACAAGCAAACATGAACATACAGCTGTTATGTGGCAAGTAGGTATGGAAACTGGTGGATATATCTCCTCAAGTCAGTTTTATTTTCACTGCCTCTGAAGTTGCTTTAGAGGATGCAAAAATCTGTGCGACACCCTCTATCTTTAGGCCCTCAACATGAATAAGAAAAAACTCGACTGCAAGTAGATTTTGTACATACGGAGGAGACAGAAATAGACACGTAAAGTATCAATTGTATATGCAGGTTGAGTTGTTACTGCATACTGGGCTCTGCATAAACTATATGGTAGTGTAAAGAATGCTGGAGTAAATTTTTTATGGGTTAATTATAACTTAGGCTTTATAAAGAGGCACTTTATGTGTATGACAAAAAATATGTACATTTTTGTACATGTTATTTATATCCTTACAATCTAGCAACAGTAATACTTTTCTGTGCAAGAGATATGAGATTATGCTCTGTTACAGTAGTTCCCTTTAGCGCACAGAGATCGTGACCTTGTGGTTGTGTAAAAAGAGCTCAGGGGGAAATAAAAGTGTAGAGGAACATGTGAAGCTCTCCAGCACACAAGTGATGCTGTGACTAAGTTTCCCCTCCCGTGTCCTCTAGCTGAATATTCACGTGTACGTGTTTGAAATGCGCGCGCTATCACAAGACCCGCATGCAGCGAAGAGCATATGGGCCGTGTGTTACGAACGCGCTGAATAATTAACAGTGATGCACGTTGCCCTTCTGTCACTGTGCAACTGAATTATTCACCCTCAAATCCATTAGACAGCGAACACACACACCCACGTGCACACAGACGCTGGCATATGATGTGATGCTGTCTTCATCAAATCTCTCAATCGGAGAACAAGAAGGGAAATATTGGTTCAGTGTAGAAGAAATGCAATGAATATCTCTGACTAACGCAGAGCTGGAACAATGGAGTGACACACTAGGACAGCTCCGACACCTGCAGGCATACATCGCCTCCACCTGAGTTTTGTCCATGACAGGAGGAAGCAGAAAGGAGGGAAGCGAAGTCTGTCTGTGCACCTGCCCACCTAAGACAGGCTGCAAATAGACACCACCTGCGTACTGCGTGTCTACACACTTTGCAGTCTTTCACTCCGCTCTCTCTTCTCCCTGCTAGACTCTTTTCCTCTCACAGCCACCACATTGCTGTCATTATGGAGTCTAGTTTACAAGTTTGGTTGAAATTAAATGCCACTTGTATTGTAAGTCTTAGGGAAACCCAGCTCGGGCTGAATAACCTGCATTCTCTCCACCGTGACTCAGCATTTGCTTACTGGTTCTCCCCTTAACAGGCTGCTTGGGATTACAGCCAGAGTCTGAATCCACTGAAGCATGCTTATTAAGCTCTCATAAGGCTGGAGTCACAGTAATGCTGTTATCATAAATTGTAATTAATGCTTTTATGGTATCATTGATCTCCAAAGGCAATTTCTCCCCATCCTCTCTTCCAAAGAAAGGTCAGGGTTACAGTCTCTCTGTCTGAATCTTATTGAGCAGTTGAACATACAGAAGGACAGAAGACAATATGAGTAACGTTTACTCAAGTCTGGAATGTGTTCTTGATAGTTTCACAATGCAGACGAGAGAATGAGAGAAAATGCAGCAATCTGTGGTGCAGTGGCTCCTGATTCAGCTAAAAAACAACAACTAATACATCCTTGAAAAAATAGTTCACCAGGTATTTGTCAAGTTTACAGCTTTGAATCAAGTGTTAGCCTGATTTATTTGCTGTTATTATAAAACATGCTGTCCTTTCTATACTAACAGCAAATATCTATATCAGTAGTTTCTTGTGTTGTGTGTTAGTTGCCAACATGATGATTATAATATAATATAATAATAATAATAATTACATAATTAACCATGTCAGTCATTGTATGAATGAAAAACCTTTCAATACCTTGCTCAAGTGAAAGATCACAGCCTTTTGGTGGTTAGTTAGTTGCTTAGTATTTTATATACACATTGGCGATGGAATATTTGAGCAGGTTAAAGGTACCTTGGGGAGTTTCAGCACTATGGAGCTGTTTTTCCTCTCAGTGACTCCCACAACAACACACACATATACATGACATGATACACAGCCTTCCTGATGATTTCACACTATTCCACAGGTCAAAGGGTGGCGGTAAAATGTCAAGATATGCTGCTACGCGCAAGCAAATGCAGGCAAGACGGAGACTGCTATCTCGTATCATAGATGTAAATATGCTTGATTTAAAGTGCTTTAAAAAATCAGCTATACAGTTTGTTTTATGAGGTTGGAAATTCATTAAACACATTTGTTAGAGCTTAAAGATGCAGTCGGGGATTCTAATCATATACACATTTTGTCAGATTCAGCTAATATCACCTCACAGGCCGCTAGCTGTCAGTTCTGTGTGCGCCGAAAATAAATCTGATGTTCGTACACAGCCCTGGCTCTGTAAATGGGGAACAAACAAAGCCGCTCAGGCTGAGCCACACAGCACTACACCAGCTACTCCTTCTCTTCCCGTCTGAGGTCATGAGGAGCGGAGCCACACCACGATTGTAATGAAACTTAAATTGCATCGCAGATATTACTGGAGCTTCTAAAGGAGCACTTAAGGGAGGGGTCTGTTTGTTCGGGTGTTGAGTTCATATATGAACAGTCTTTCAGAATTGCTGACTTGGCCTGTATGGACAAACACAATGAGACATGAATAACCCATCTATGATCAGGTTTATGGGCTATATGTTTGAGCATGTAAACACCATATTACGTTTATGAGAAACCTGAATATGCTAGCTGGAGTACTCTGACAGAAACTAGGGGAATATGAATAACCTGATTTCTCTTTACTCATGTAAACATCATATTCTGAATATGATCATAACTGCGATAAACCTCATGAACAGGTCATTCATGTCCATGTAACCGCACTGTGTGTTTTGATGAATAACACGTAATGTAAACATAAGGGTTTGTTTACAAGAAAACTCAACAGGCTACATTTTAAAATAAGAAATGAACATGCTATAACTCACTTGTTATGCAAATATTAAATTCTCAGCCATTCTTGTACCTGGTTAGCATCATCATCTTTTTGATTGGGAGCATGTTAGCATTCTGAGATTAGCATTTAGCTCAAAGCACTGCAGTGGTTAAGTACAGAGTGACTTGCATGGCTTAGTTGCTCATGCATTTAAGCTGTGAGTTATATCAAGGAACAACAGTGTCTCATTACATCAACACCACACTCAAAGATCAAGAACATTTAGTAACATGCTGGTGTTTTGGGGTATATATCACTTGCAATACTTAAAACATGGTGAGAATCATTATGTAAACAATTTCATTGGAGCTGTGTTACTGTAAAACAGCTTGGATTGTTTACTTCCTGTCAGCTGCTGCCATTATACCAAACATTACAACAGAGAATAAACACCCAACACATTTAAAAATGTGTAACACTGTGAAATGGTCTGTAAGGACACAGTTGAAGAGCCTAAACTCCCCTTGAGGCCCATACAGGCCTTGCAGCTCCTAAATGTTTTGAACCAACTTTGTGGGCCTTCCTCAGAGCCCGGCGCTCTCTTTAGCAGGGCTGAAAAAGTCTTGTGGTAATTGCCTTGTGGTTCGACCACAGACTGGTGACATTCATATTTATTCAGCCAATCTTAAGGCTGTGTAATAAAACTATAATTATTATGGAACTATTTTGTGCAACAACAAAAGGCCATGTGTTTTATTTCAGTGTAATTACATTATATTGTAAAACTGCTCCGTCCATCACTTATCAGCATAATGTATGGGTTTACTGGTGGTGAGTCTGCAGTGTGGCTCAGCTAGTTGCACTGTGAAAGCTGCTGAGCTCCCAGAAAGTGAGGGGAGCAGGTCTGTTTCAGTGTGCACTTTGGGGTGATTATTGAGATGGATGGTTCAGACTGCTGCCTAGCAAGATCTGCCGAGCCAACAGTAGATCACCGACCTGCAGAGTCGTATATGCCAACTCCAGCCTGGCTGCCACACAGGGACAGTTGGACAGACTGTCTGCGGATACATTTACATATACTGAAAGGCTCCTGTGTGCAGTGGGTCTTATTTTATATTCACCATCATCAACAAATGCATCTGTTTTTTTATCCCTGCCAATCCAAGCTTCATCTCTGCACAAATTACTAAACAGAAGAGCTTTAAGGTGTGTTCAGATTAAACCGATTTCAGCGGTGACATGTTTTGACAAAGCCTCCTCACAGCGGAATAGTGAAATAATGAGGATACTAGTTCACTGCAACACAAGCTTTCATTGTACAACCAAAACACAAATACAAAACTAGAATTAGTTTTGACATCTTGTTTATCTTTTATCTCTACATCCCCCCCCTTTCTTCCTCTGTCTTCCTGTCTTTTCTCTCTCTAGGTGGCGGTGAAGATTATAGACAAAACTCAGCTGAATCCCACCAGTCTACAGAAGGTGAGTGTGTGTTTTTATGGCCACATGGTAACATTAATGTCTTGGTTACAGCGCTCATGGCTTTTCCATTAGTCATTTCTGAGTTGTAACCGCTCTGCTTTTTTGCTCTTTGAACTCAGGATGTGCTGTTTTACATAATGTAATCAGATGTAGTCAGGATAGACCACAAGGCTTGTTTAATCCACCCCCCTCCCTCTTTTGACTTTCTGCTGGTATGTGGTTAGGAGCAGCTAAAAATACCCCTGCCTGCCTGTTTGTTTGTCACTTACCTCTGTCTAGCAGTCATAACCAATTACAAGGAAGGGTTTGGGACCGTTTCCTGATTACTAAGTCCAAATCCAGCTCTTTCTGCTGATTAAACACACTCTCACACACACATTCATACAACCCTCATGGTAGATTACACCCTGTGGAAGAAACACAGGCTCTGCTACAGTAAGCATCACCTACTGTGAGTCTCACAATAATGCAGGTGTCCAGGATTTCTTTTCGGTGGTCATCATGGCGTTATTGTAACAAAAGGTCATCGTGCCTTTGAGGTGGTGGACTCTTCCTATAGATACAGTTGGTGTCTAGTTATAGCAAGAGGGCATGTTGAGGGCAGAGTCAGCAAGGGGGAAACAGTCCTTTCCCCCAGACTGTAAATGTAAATGCTTACATAAGAGACACTATTACATTTACTTTAAATATGATTAATTAAACTTACCATAATATTCATATCCCACAGCCATTAACGCTATGATGTGATACTTTTAGTGAATTCCAAGCACGATTTGAGAAAGTATAGCAGCGCTAACGTAACGTGGCCTATGTTTTGACAGTGTGCAAGAGGTTTTGGAATTTTTGGAAAAGGGCCCCCTAATGGTCACCCATATTGGCAACTTATGGATACTCTCTGGATACTGTTAGTTAGGATGGTCAGCTAGCCACCTGTAACTGTCATATATATGTTAGGTGTATCTGTCAACACCATGAAATGTGTGTACCCTTCTGGTCACCAGAAACAAATAAAAAAAGAAAGAGGAGGAGGAAAAACAACATAGGGAGTGTTGGGGACTCTGATGAGCTTCTTTGGGTCTAGGATCGCCACTGACGATGTGTTGTAACATTATCACACAACCTCAAGAACTACAGGTCCTTGGAGGCTCACAACTTTTCTACCAGTGGCAAAACAATCAAACACTATTTGGATACAGCGTTAAATTATTTTTGTTCAACCAGAAACAGCCTGGAAATGACCATCGCCAATTCCACCAGACTCCCTTTAAATAAACAGTAATTCTAGTGCGTACAGAGCCAGCATAATTTCTCATCTAACTGGGAGAATTAGGAGTTTATTTAACCAAACCAGAGTTGGGGAATGTTAAAACAGTGGAAAGTTGAACCAAGATGGTTTATGTAAGTTTTCTTTTGTTTCTCTCTACTTTGAATGGAGTGTGTTTTACGATGATAAAATTACTGTTTATTTAATGGGAGTCTGGTGGGTTTGGGAATAATGAATTTGGGGCTGTTTCTGGTTAAACAAAAATGATCTTACTCTCTAATAAAAAGGTCTATCTCTGTAGGGATCCTTTCTATAATCTTGTTAGACACTTATAATAACAATCTGAGGCTGCCAGTGGCAGAAACACACTTAGTGGATGTAAATTGGCGGTGCGAACATGCTGTAAGTGTTTGCATTGTAGCCTGGCCCTGCTGGCAGCAGCACTGTTGCTTAATACAGGACCAGTATAAAAAAAAATGTTGTTACCATTAGTAGTTAGACAAAAAACATAAGAGAGTTCAGGTTGGAAAATACCCTCTAACTATTTTACGTGCAGCAAGCCACACAGCAATTCCTCATTATGCCAGCAAAGGCTTTGTTTTCCCTCTCAGCCCTAAAATAATGTGACATTTCTGGACGTTCCCATAAAAATTAACTGTATTAATATTTTTGTATGTTTTAAAGGTCTGTTGTTACTTATCTTTTGTTTGTTATCTGCACTTTTTATGGGCTTATTTGTAACAGTTTCATTCCAGTAAAGCTATTTTTGTGACCTTGCCCTGTGAATGGTGTTGTATTAAATAAACTCTACTTACTTACTTATTTACGTACTTGTGTTTCTCACCATAGCTACTCTTTTAATTTTGGTGTTTTGCAAAGGAATGCACAAATTGCTAAGCAACCACTGCGGTGACTCATTAGACTGTAATAAAGGACCATTATAACCACCACACCTACATAAATGGCAGCTGATGCCTTGATGGACCTCTTGTGCTCTATTGCTCTGCAAGCCACTGGGGTGAGAAAATATTGCTGCAGCGAGCAGTCTTAATGACAAAATAATAACAACAATTAGCTTCCCAAAATGTCTGCCATCCCACACTGGTATGAGTGGAGTGAACTTAATGAGTGTTATTGGAGGAAATGAAGTCTGTGCTTCTCAAACAGAGTGTAATTGTGAGAAGGCTAATGTGAGACAAATGACATATTTAGTTCTTGCCTTCAATCCTACTTGTAGCTCTGTAAAACAAAACTATCGGGGCATTTCTGGCCTGATTCTGCACCCGACATTGTTTTCTACGAGCAAATCTGTAACTGTCTTGGATCTTAATGGGATCCGGCTGCAATTCTTTAGCCAATCAGTGCAAAGACGCCGAGAGAATTTCAAGCTCGGAGTTCTGTACTCATCTAATCTGACTGAGATAAATTTCATTGTGTGAGCTCTTTTGTTAAACAGCCTATTGTGTGGTTTCTAATCTGCACATGCACAGTGGAGTAATGAACATTTAGAGGCATTGTGTGTGTGTGTGTGTGTGTGTGTGTGTGGCATTAAGATTCTGCACATGAAATGACTTCACCGACTTGGGTCTCGTCTAGGTCATGAGTGGTTACACACAGTTGGGTCGGGTTGTCCGCTGCCTGGTGATGGGCAGGGCAGATGTATCATGTGAGATTGTAGACCAATCAAGATCTCTCTGATCAATTATTCAGTAAGCCTTTCAGATGTCAGCTGCAGTAGACCTGAGAGTGTCAATATGGAGAAGTCTTATGGCTTTTCATGGGGGATGAGCTATTATTGATGTAACAGCATGGATGCACAGTGATGTTTTTATCTGTGTGTACACATGAATTCATGTGTCAAATTCAGTGTGTGTTTGTGTGTCTGTACCTGAGTGCATACACATGTTTATGTCCATATGGTGCTTCTATGTATAGTTTAATGTCCTCGGCTCTGTGCTATATATTGCCATAGAGTAGAGTCCCATCTGCAGTGCAGAAGCTGGTCTTATAATGCAGCAGTCGTCTCCTGGATTGAATCGATTGTCTCATTGACTCAGAGCATCCTGTGCTATCCTTTTGAAAGCTCTACTATGGATGCATTAAAGGGAACATCCGCGTTAATGCAGTTTTGCTTGGTTACTTTTGTGATATTGGATTGGATGAATAATACCTGGGAAAAGTGAAGTCAGTTACTGGTTTCTCATCCCTTGCGTTTGCTGCTGGCTGGCTAGATATTTGCAGTTAATGGCAGTGAGTTTCAGATTGGAATGCTAGAATTAAAAACTAAAAAAGGAAGACAAGAATTTAAAACCACTGCCCAAATTATAGGAGCTGTATATGACATTCAGAGCAGTAATATATATCAGCAAACAACTATTTGCTATGTAAAAATATAGTGAAGTAATGACATCCTGCGCAGAGAATGAAGTCACGCTTGTGTCAAAATGTGAGCTTCTCTGTTTTTTGTTGTGGTAGACGGTCCGGCCACATACGCATGTTAGTGCATGTGAGTCCATGTGTATATCCCACTGGCTTGCTAATCACCACAGCTCTAAACTTCTGATAACTCTGTCCCAACTTACACCATTGTTGCAGAAGTGTAACGCCCACCTGTTAGCTCTGTCGACACTGTTGATAGTGTTGCTCCCGTGTTAGCATTGTTAGCTGCTAGCCATCTCTGCCACATCCATTGTTGAGGGCCATGTGCAGCAATATATTCTCATAGAACAGTTTGAATGATATCCTACGAAAATGCAGGTACAACAGTTTGTATGATATCCTACGATTAGCGCTCCCAGGAATAGCATCCTTAAGATAGGGTGATGTAATTAATGTAAAGTTACGGAGGTTAGGTTTAGGCAATTAAAATTACTGTGGTTAATTGTAGGCAAAGAAATATGGTGAGGACGTACTTTAAGATGACTCAAGAGTCTCACAGTTACAAACACACATCGGGAAAGTCCTGAGGGAAAGTCAGAGTTTTTGTGACCCATCCACCACGCCAGCCTGCCTCTTTCTAAGGCCGCTCGGGACTCCTCCCTTGCTTACTTACTTCAGTGCATCGGCCTCATGATCACAGTCTTTCAAAATATGTGGGATATGTACAAATTTTGGTGCATTGCTTTTTGTAGGAAAATGTACAAACAGTTTATGACAACAGCCTAGTGTGCAGACAACATGAATCAGACTCTGAATGTCATATAGAGCTCCTTAACAAACGGATTTAGGAATCTACAGAAGCATTGTGGATAATTTTACCCTCCAATAAACGTCAAAACATTAAAATCGTTAAAAAAAATCTTTAAATATAATAAATATCCTCCTTTTTAATTGGAACATCCTACTTGGCACTGTTTTCAAATTTATTGTCCAGTGATGTTAACATCTCTCACTGACGTCAGAGCTTTTGCTTTGGCTTCTTGTTTTGTTCATGTTGAGAAGTCTAGACTGAATTTCACTACGTTCCCTGAGGGTGTCATGGGCTGCTCTGCTTGTTCTGTTCCCATTGTGACCTCACCCTGGGAAAGTGGTGAGAAGATTTAATAATGAACAGATGTAAAATACATCCATCACAAATTCTGTCTCAGGAGGGATATTTCCCTCTTTCACATCCATGACACAGTAGTCACAGTAGCAAAGTTATTATAGTTATTCAATTGTTTTATTTTTACTTTGTTTTTAATTTTTCTTTTCAATACAGTTTAGTTTCTAGTTTTATATATTTTATTATAATTAG